ATACTGCAACACTATGCTCTTGAGACTAAGATAACCTAAAAATAGCAGTCTGCATGTGTATCTATAAAAGGTATATCCCCAAATCTTGTAAACAAATATTTTAATAAAAAATTAAGGAAATCCTCTTCATAAGAGCTAGCATTGCCCATTGCTTATATGCTTTCAAGTCTGAAAATTGTGGTTTGGATGTGTGTTTGTTTGATTTTACTTGTTTAATTATTTTTTTATCTTTAAGATTAGGGACATATTCTGTTTTACTGCTGAAACTGTGTAAATTACAACAACATGAAAAAATACAATAAGACATTGGAATTATAATCGCAGATGCTGGGAGCTACATACTTAATGGAAACAAATGAGCTATGCCAGAAAATGTGTTCTCAAATATGTTACACTTGTGTATTACTTTAAAAAATGTGTGTCACTCAGTACAGAAATGCAACACAAATGAACTGCACACATATTGAACAAGCTAAAGTACTTATACGTACCTATTACTGTATTCCCTGGGACCGTACTTGTGGTAAATCGGGTAAGAAGGCCACACAGCAACTATGTTAACTGCATCACTTGACTTGTAAATGGATTGAAGCTTTTGATAAAAAACAGAACTTGTATTCCTAAGAAATAAAATACAGGATTGGAAACATCAAGTTTAATTTTAAACTGAAAACCATGATGGTTCATTTGAGCATAAAATCTTAAGAAGAATATATCAATCTCTGATTTGTTACATGAGTAGACATAAATAATAAAATTTTATTCTAAGGATTTGTATGTCTTCACCTTTTTAAACTTCCTCATTCAAACAAAAGGGTCAAAATTTAATACATGCAGTAAATAACAATCAAAATTCCCATGGTCAAACAGAGGTCTGAGTGATGTCTATTCAATGTCATAATATTTCCTGCTTTTGGACATCACACTGTATGGATGAGTGTTCATCCATTATGTTGTAAGACCTCAAAATAAAGGGCCTAGTTTCACATAAGACCTGTTGCCTGAAAATTGGTCTACACTTGACTAAAAATTTGGTCTACCTCAGTTCAGGATTAATCCATTGTACTCTACTTGGATAAATGAAGTATTGGTTTAAAATATAACTCATATCTTTGTTATTATAAAACTGGCAAAATGTTTTAATTAATTGGGGATACTGATGATTTAAATAACCTAAAAATAGACTAAAAATTTTGGTTTAAAAGCTTACACGAAACTCTGGGTTAATGTTTTGTTTTTGAAACAAACCTCTCGGGTAAGTAGTTTGAAACCATTTGAACAATTCCAAAAATGTTGATATTTTTCTTGTTCTGTAAAGCCAGTGGAAGAGTTAACAGCATAAAAATTATAATTGCAAGAATTCAAACAAGGCTTAATTAAGCTGGCACAGAAACTACATGTAACACATACAAAAGTACAATGCATTTGTTATAGAAATGAGGATTACTTGAAATTTCTAAGTTTTAAACAGATTATATAAATTTGGTAAAGAACAAAATGTGCTGAATTAGCAAAGAAAGAAAGGTATGACATTAGCAACATTGCTTGGCTTACAAAAACTTGTAATAAGTGCATATGACGTCTTGTCAAAATATGTACATCTCTAACTCAGATGTATTTTAAATTATTATCAATATAGACACCAAAATAATTATATAAATTTGAAGTTTAAAACACAAATGTGTGAGATAAGATGATAAACAAGGCATAATTTTGATGAACAAACTCAAAATTTGCCACTTTTCATTATTGTTCATCATCAAACTGTGCATCACACATGCCCCCAAGACAAAAACTATATATAAGTATCTATAGAACTCAGCTAGAGTAGGCACATGCATTTGCAGTATAATTCTACACTGATTCTACAGAAGTTTAAAAATACTGATCATGATTGACATTTTAAGTTGGCATTTCAACCATGTGTTCAGACGCAATATGCACAAACCCCCGCCACATATTTATGATATACGTATATATCTATTCACATGTATTGTTGCTGCAGTGAAGAGCTAAGATCCTAACATTAATTATCATTGTAACCTTTTGATGCAGGCCTGTAGCAAGCAATTTTAAAAGAGGGAGGTGTTCTTATATATAGTAGAACATAAGATTTTATTGCAAAACCTGAGACCTAGATCAAACTTTGATCCACAGCAGAACTCTGTCCACTGAGCCAAAATGGTAGCTATCTGTCTAATTCCACAATCCCCTTTCTAATGTAATGTAAGGGATGTACAATTTCATTGTGAAAAAAAAACAGAATTCCAACTTGTGTCAACTTTACTGGTATCTCTGATGACTTCATGTATTTTAGCTAGTTTCACAAAAGAACTTAACAAGTCAAAAGTTACTTTAATGGCTTTAAGACCATAAATGTTCATTGGCTTTAGATAATTTGGTAATAATTAACTTCAATAAAAATAAGTTCTGCACCTGTTTCACAGAAAAAAAAGGCTAATAGCAATGGCAATAGCTTTTTAGGTGGGATACTACTAATATATACCAGTGTAGCATCTGGTCTTGACTTAGACCTTTAAATAGTGGCTCCCTAAATTTTTGCCATCAGATACTGACATTATGTTAAATTTCATTTTTGATAATGACTTCCTCCCTCTGATACCAACTCTGCAGATAACTGTTTCTTATATATTACTTTTTAAAATAAAAACTGCTTAAATTGAGAAACATATTCATATACAATGTTTTGTCATATTCAGAAGTGGACCCATGATTATTTGAAGGGGGGGGGGGGTCCAGATTTTTTTTAATAGGATATGAAACCGACCTTGGCCTCTTTAGTGAGGGCTTCGTGTTTTGGAGGACAAATGTCTAATTTTAAAAGGAGAATATTAGTGTGATTTTTTTTTTTTCAGAAACTGAAGGGGGGGGGGGGGGGCAGTGCCCGCCTGACCCCCCCCTAATTCCGCCACTGATATTCATGCAATATTTAAGAAATATGAATCAAGAAAGGCCACAGGCTGGGAGTAGGAGGCAGCTGTTGAAGTCCTACTGGTACAATATATGCAATTTAGTTATTGTTCTGCTTGTAAGACTTAATTATCAAGACATTGACTGAAGAAAAAGTAAGAATTCTGGAGGACTTGGAGAAAGGCAAAGGATTAACAATTTGTAAAAGGGCATATATCTGTATCTTATGATTTTTGACATTTCATGCCATTTAACTTTAATGCTTTGCATAATTAAGATAAAGTGTAAATTACCAGTACACCTACGTGCGCTGACAAGTTATTACTGTGGTGATAAGCACGATTCTTTTTAGAAAAATCAAGACAATACTCAAAGGTATACTCCATGAAATTTACCTGCCAAAATGAATTTTCCCAGGAAAATAAGCAATTTTCTCGTACGCAAGAATTATTTATCTATCCCATCTTTTGGATTTACTTATGATAAAATTTATAGGGGTTAATTTAGCCTAAAATGACAGGCCAGCCATTATAACTGAGACCATTGTCCTTTAAGGTCCAACATCAGGTTCGCTCCAGAAAAAATATTAAGAGGTTAAATCATTTTTAAGGTGTATATAAGGTTTTAAAGAAGCTGTGGATGGCAAAAATAAACATTTGGGGGATTTTCAAACCCAGTGTACCTTTAAAGTTTCAAATAGCTAGATCATAACACTCTACAAGGCTGACTATAGCAATAGTTCGAATTGCACAGTGAACTGTGCGGCACTTATGCAGTATATAAGTGCTAACTGTGCTACTTGCAGCTGCAATGCTATGATACTGTCATACTTGTAATTTAATGCCTTAAGTGAATTTTCAGTTTTCTCAACTTTTCATTGAAATAGCAACTATAAATATGATCAACTCCATTTAGTTCAATCTAATTTCCAGAAGTTTATTAGGTTGTTATATAACATTAATTATATAGATGTGCGGGTTAAATGTTTTTAGGATGTATACTTATATAATCAGTTTACAGGTCAAGTTTAAAGAAGTCTGTTCTAAGTCACACTAGGTAACTCAATTAAACAAGAAGCCATATCTTTGATTAACAAATACATCCACCTCAAATGTATTTAGGAATGGTCCTCTGCCTTGTAACTATATTATTCACCTTGATCAATCAGTTTAAGTTATCAACCTATTGTCCACTAGTAGAAGCCATTTAGTGCTCAGTCTGGAAGTCTTCCCTATCGCATGTGTAATTGAATTAAAGTGACCACTCTGGCAACCCACCTGGCTGGGAAGCCAATGTAATGTAATTATATATGTGAAGATATATAAAGATAGAAATAAAGGTAGAAGTCAGTAGTCAGTACTCGCAGAGAGAATACTATACTCTGATCTCTAGAAAGCAAAACATGACGTTATGTTAATACTGATAGCTGCACTGTCACACGAAGCAGACAGCAACAATCACGACCAAAAGTATTTTAACAGTGCAAATTTCCACGTGGACTATGCTCAGTGTATTTTCTACAAAATTATGACAAAAATTTAACGTTAGGAAACATTAGTGGTAAGAATGCAAAAGAAATAACGCTTGAACCAACCTGCAATTTTTCGGTGCATCCCCCTTCCCCGGTCTTTGAAATGTGCCTCTGTTTACTTTCTTTGAGAGTAACAAGAAAAGCCACCTGCTCCGGAAATGTATATCTGCGCATGACCCAAAATATAAGGCAAGATAAAACATATTTTAACCATTTATGGGATATTTAAAATGCAAACCTCTACTTGCAATCAAACATAATATAAAATACAGTATATGCAGTTGTAAATGTTAGAAATAAATTTTGAATATTGCGTAAAAACATCAATTTATGCCTTGACCTTCCATAAGCCAATCAAATAGCACCTCGTAATTTGGGTCAGTTTTCAAACGATGTTTTCGTTCCTTGCGGCAAGGGGATTTAAATAGCAGGCAAAGGTTTTGGCCAATAAGTTTATTTTTAATAACTTTTTGATTGCTGGAAGTTTAAAAAAATGAAGCACATAACAAAATTGGACGATTTGGGGAGTTTAAGGTCGATGGCAGTACAGGATTTGAAAGAAAAAGGAGTAAAAGTGCCAAAACTTCGAAAACGAAGATGCCCTTCAAGTCAAAGTGGGCATACACAGGTAAATTGTTTTTTCTGTTATGTTAGTAGTTTTGTTCTAAATGTGCAACGTGAATTTGGTCAGAACAGAACAATTTTGGTGATATCTGATAACTAAGAATGTCAGTTGATGACCGATTACTTGAGTGCATTCTGGGGGAGTAGTGGGGAGGAAAGGAAGGGGGAGGTTGCTTCAGTTTTGAACTTTTCGACCTTACGTGGTACTGAAACTGCTAAGTAAAATTAGCATGTAAGGCTGGAACCTGAGGGAAAGTGGACCGGGGTGAGACAGCATACTTGGCATTACTTAATTTAGCTTGGTTGTTGACACAATGTGCTGAAATATCTTATTCAGAAGTACCCTTTCTTTTTCTCTTTGCTCATGCACACACACAAACACACACACACAAGGATGACAATACCTGTATGTTGGTATAATAAAATTCAAGAAATGGCCTTGAAAAAACTTCTTAAAGATGTTTGCGGAATTTTTAATTAAAATTGATATATGACTAATTTTTTTTTCAGGACAAAGGGGATAGATACGTGTTTGGAAACAATCTCTTTAGTATGCCTGGAGTATTTATAGAAGACTGTGGATTTGTACCTAAGTAAGTAAAAATTTGCCCTGGTGTTTTAAAGTGTCAACAAGTTGGCAGTAAATGGAACAAGATATTGCATAAAATAGGTTTTGAACTTTATAATTTATTATTTTTTTTAACTTACAGTTGCATTGCCCAATGTTAACTTTACCCTTTACAGAGCACTTTTCCAAACATTAAAACAAAAAAATTACCATTTGAAGCTAATTGGGGAACTGACAGATTTTTGCATTTTCTCTTTTTCTACAATTTTCAGGTTCCTTGTAGATGCCTTTACTGTGGTGAAAAACCACATTGACACAGTTGGCATATTTAGGAAAACTGGATCTGTTGCAAGACAGAAAGAATTGAAAGTAAGCTGGATGGAAGTTTGTCTCTTTGATGTTGTTTGATGGGATATTTTGATATCTATCGAAACATCTAGAATTTATCATTTTCTCCAAATCAGTATGAGTAACACAGCATGAATCATTTAGAAAATTTGAAATTTTATCAAAGTAACTGTCGTCAGGAGTGTTGATGTAAAAAGATACCATATCAGTAGTATTAAGGTGGTTTATTAGTCATGCTCATAGTCTGTCATTTGGTTGTTATTTGTGGGACTTGAAATGAGCACTAACATGGAGATAATAACATGGGAAACTTTTACTAAACTTCATGATTGTAAAAAGTGTAAATCACAGCTGTACCTTTACTTAGTATGTTAATACTGTGCCCACAAATAATGATTTCAAAAAGAAAAAAAAACAAATGTGACTTGCAATTGTATTCAAACCTAAGATCTACCAACAATTTTCATTGGTCACATGTTTGTACTGTTCATCCAGAAAAGGCACCAGTTTGACTAATATATATGAGAGCCTCCTTGTACAAAATCACTTGTAACATATGGAAATTAATTAACACAGTTTAACTGTTTTATTACTTCCCTGGCCAGTGTGTTCTTACTGTAAATGGAAAAAAAGGAAATGGTAGAGACAGGCTTGCAATTTAAAATGTTTGCTATGAAAAGTTAATAAGATGTTTTAATAATATATAGACATGTGTACAGTATAAATAACACTTGTAACTAATTAGTACACACATGTGTTTGTACAGTAATACTTTTGTGTTTTTAGGTCATTTATGAAGATGAAAGTGTAAGGCTCACATTTGAAAATCTCATTTGATGTGTCACTAAAGATGACTATTTAGGAATTGCATTATGCAGGAAGGTTTATTTTTTCTGCTTGCTTCTTTTGACTTAAATAACAATATATTTTCAAATTCAGCACAATTTAGACAATGGAGGAGACCTAGAAGTAGAGTCATCAAATGTGTTTGATGTGACAAGTCTGATAAAGCAGTTTTTCCGAGAGCTCCCAGATTCCTTGTTAACAACAAGACTGCATGACGTCTTCATCAAATGCCACCAGCTGCAGGAGTCTGACTCTAGGCTTAAACACATCCAACTGATGTGCTTGTTGCTTCCACTCGAAAATCTAAGCACTCTGAAGTTCACGATGCAGTGCTGTGCAGAAATTGCCAGCCATAGCGAGAACAACAAGATGAACATGTCAAATCTAGCTGTTGTCTTAACACCAAACCTCATCCATACTAACAGCAAGTCAGAGAAAATGACCCAAGTGGAAGGGCAGCTGTTGGCAGCACAGACGTCCATCATTGAGCTCCTGATAGAACACAGTGCTGACATAGGCATGGTGGATGAAAGTTTACAAGAGCGTTCCCACATGATGAGTACATGTTTTGCCTCTGAGGATGAATTGGACCGAAGTTGTGATGAGTCTGAAGAGCCCAAGTCCAAGAAAAAGAAGAGAAGAAGTGGCTCATTGCAAGGTTGGTAATTTTGAGAGTGTGGTTTGTTATCAGTTAATTTGTATATTTTCAAGTGTCTGATATAAACCAGCTGTATGTTGTTTTTTTTTCCCATGATTTTGCACATTTTAATACTTAAATGAGGAATCATGCATTGCCTTTCAGCTGTTTACTTTTCACATGAAATATTTTATTTTTGTTATTTTCTTGCTTTTCTGTAATAGGTATTGTGTCAGGCATTAGCAACACAATCTCTAAATGGTCAAAACGTGGTGGCATCAAGGGAGCATCAAGCAATCAAAGTTTGGTGTCTTCGTCCTCTGCTGACATGGAGGACTCTTCTGTTGCTGTGGATGTTGGTGATGCTGCTGGCATTTCTATAGGGATAATGGACGCCACGCCTATAGTGGTCAGGAAGCGAAAAGCCTCAGATGAAGGGGTGCCATTTTCTGCCACTAAAAGGTAATGAAATGATGTCTAGACAGTTTTTTCCCCCCATTGATATCAAAGAAAAGCAAGTAGGATAATAATTGAATTGATTATAATGATCAAGTAAAGATTGCACTGTAAAATCATCGTCAGTTTTAATAATAATCACTTTTTCCTCATATTCCTAAGGGTCATAGTGTCTACAGTGTTAGATTATATTTTTGCACTCTCTAATTTCCCCCNTATTAACCCTCCAGTTATAGACCCTCAGCAGCCCTGGGGATAATAACTGGTGAATATTTTCTCTTAAGTGGTTATCATCTATAAATTCCCTCCGAAGCAGACACTTTTTTCTTTGTTATTACCTTTAATATGTCTGGCAAGCTGTGCTAAAGACTGTGGATCAGAAGTCAGTTTGAAGTACGAGTAAGCTCTCAGGGTTGGTGGAACATCAGACTCGGGAAAGCCACTGAAGAGCAGCGGGATCATCCCCTGACCGCCATTCTCTGTGGCTTTACCCAGTGCCATGCTCTGCTCATGCTGGCACCAACTACTAGCCAAATAATTTCTAGTCAAACAAAGTGCTATGTGTCTACACTCCTTGAAAAGATCTTCCACATTGTTCATGACACGCTTCCCAAGTTGAAAATCTCTGTCAGCATAGCAGCATTTTATGCCATGTTCTTCTTCCAGGCGTTCTGCTAACTCGAGAACCTCCTCCTCATCTTCACTACTATGCACCAGAAAGAGGTCGTATTTGTAACGAACTGGGGGGACTGGATTATCATCACCTGACAGAAAAAAAGTTTATTATAAACTATTGAAGCAAAATAATCTTCTACATGTATGTGAAAAAGGTTGGGAAACATGGCTGTTTATCTTTTTTTCTTTTTTTTTTTTGCTTTTTCAATTACAGAAATTGTAAATAACGACTTGTTAGAAAAATAAAATATGTTGACTCCAAAATTGGTTATGATCATAGCATAAGTGAAATTTTTATTGTTAATACATAAAACACATGTATTGGTCTTTGACATACTTTTTGAGAGCTTATTAAATAACTTAAAGTCATAATAACTCTTCGTTTTGGCCAAAAATTGGATTTTCCTGGAGTAAACGGCAATTTTCCCGTACTCACCAATGGTCAGCGACCCCATTCCTGCATTCAAAGTTAATCCAGGGTTTTTTTTCCTAAACGTACGGTTTTTTGTTAAAATCTCTTAAGTGATTTTAACTGACGGAGCCCTCTCTAACATAGCATATCGAGCGGGGTTTTCTGATGACCTACTTAAAACCGCGGGAAAAGCAGACAACAACAACACTTTATTGCAATAAAATAAGATTCATACAATATAATCGTCTTAATTGCTCATATTCACAACGTGTGCAGTTCTGGGCTTTTCGTTATTCGACANCGTCTGAGGATTGTGTCATGCGCCTCTGTTATTTTGGTCTCGACTGCACGCGAGAATCAGCGTGATGCGCCAAAATCCTTGGCAACGAATGCCTTGATGACCGGGAAAAAAGGCACCGAAAGCCCTATTGACAAGCACAGTTTTTAGTTTTACTACAATAACAGCCGTTTTAGTGGTGAAATGCAATATAATATATTTCCGTGTGTTGTTTAGAATGTATTTCTTGAGGAATTTTGAATCTCAAAAGAAGAGTTATTATTGCTTTAAGTAGCTTTACTAGACTGGTATAAGTGAAATATTTTGTCTTTCAGCCCACCTTGTTAAAAGTTACTATATGTACACGGCAGACATCATAATTATAACAAGTCCAGGATTGCCATAAAATAAAACTACTAAATTTATTTTTTTTGGGTGTCACAAAAGACAAAATACCTCAACCTAAAAAGTCTGCTCAGTTTTATCCAATGAATATGGTAAAGGCTACATCATTTCAACCAGGAAAATTGTGAATTTATCTAGTACCCCCTATAACACTATATATTTTAAGTAAAAAGCAGACTACCTAATACTTCTTTTCTTAAAAGTGAAAGCACCAAAATGATACACAAGAAAGTATTTTTTGATGATTCTAAATTTATGTATCTGAAATATTGATAATTTTCCCATTTGAAATGATTCGGCCATTACAGTATTGGCCGATTTTCAAACCTAGGCCAAGAATCAATACCTTGCATTTGACCACCCTCTCTTGCCACAGCGCGATTCTGTAACTGCTCTCCCCTTGGCAAACCACTGACATGGCCATTTTGGCCATTCTCTGAAGACCAGAAACAAGAAATAAGGAAGTCAAAAACTGGCTTAAGGATTATAATTTTAGGAACAATTTTTGAGGTGGCATTAAAAAAAGCTGTCAAATGTACAGACAAAAAGCAGAAAATAATAATGCACAAAATATGCTACTGTCAATGCTGATGCAAGAGTACATTATGCTTAACATTATGCTTAACACAATTATGCTTAACTGCAAATTCAACATCAAATTTTAATTAAGCTCAACAGGTATTACAGATGTAAGTAAAATGTGTAACCATAAATTGCCAAAATGTAAACAAGACAGAACTGTACTGAAATGGGTTTATGTCCATTTTAACACTTTTTTTTACATAAAACAATTAATTTACTGTAATTTTTTATGATCAACTAAGAAAATTGTTGAGATGTAGAAAATATCAATAGAACCATGTTAAATGTTCAATTTGCTCCATTCTGAGATTCTGAACATATAGTAAATGATTAAATCTGGCAGACTGCAATGATTTGTTTTTTATCCACTTTTGACACTTAATTATACAATAGATTAATAGAGGTTTAACACCATTGTTATGTAATCAACTAACAATACTGTAAAGATGAAAAATTTGTCAAAAGAACAGTTATACCTATCTAATTAGTTGAATAATGAGACTGTAAACATGCCTAAGAATTGAATCTGAGGTAAAAGCACTTATAAACAAAACAAGGAATAACTGCATCAAAACTGAACCAATTAAGCTTATTTTTTAACTCTACCTGTATTTTAGTAAAATTAAGCACTCCTGTGAGTTTCATGTCAATAAGCCTATTGGTTTTCCTTGAAATGTGTTTACAGTGTTGCATATAAGATGAAAAGTGAGAATAACTTCAGGGATGCTAGTGGGGTCCGGAAAGAAAACCTGAACTTTTTTTTGGCAAAGACCGGGGGGGGGGGTGGGC